TCGATTCTGATGGTTAAGTGTAGTTTTATTGAATCCCTTCTGGATTAGTTGTGTTTACTGCTTATTCCTTTCTGATCAACTGGAATTCGATCAAAAGCATTCCCGCACCCAGAAGGTGTTTGATGGAATGCTTGATCTACTAATTCCAGTAATAATCGTCTCTTTCCCAAGGGATTGGCCGTTTAGAGCGGTTATTGACTTTAACAGTCGGTTCTTATTGCCTGCATAGTTAGATTCCGTTAATGGGAATTAGTCTGGGCTAGCTTTGCTTGAGGATTTGTTGCACGGGAGTGAATAAGTCTGTTGTTGAACCTGTTGTCTAGGGATAGCTTCATTGAGAATTTTTAACCATCTGAATTGATTATGGAGTCCACACTATTCGATTACCCCATCCTTAGGAGTTTCTTATCCAATTGATTTATCTGTTTATTTACCTTCCGCATTCACTTTCTCTGTTACTTGCTATTGAATTTTGATAATTGTCTGTTTTTGGACCCTTTTACTCTATCACATCCTCCTTCTGGCAGTGAGCCTTGTGATAGAGTATAGCAGTCCATTTCTGCAAATTCACTGTTTTCTGCATCAATCACTAGGACTGTTAGAAACTCAAAACCTGTTATTGCTTGGCTTGACTTAATAATTTCTGATCATATCTCATTTGTTTGCAACACACCTGATTGGATTGACACCTAAAATACTACAACGACATGATAGTGTTTTAGGATAATTGATCTTAAAATCCTACTATCACTTACGGGATCTGGTTAGAGTTGTAGTTCTTATACCCAATCATACACACGTGATCTAGTCATATTTGACTCCAAAAACACTAATCAAGCTTCTTATTGCCTCTCAAAACTCTGTTGGTGTGGCCGAAGTCCTATGAGTTTTCGGTTTTGGAGCTTCTAAACGGAAAAACACTACATTAGTTTACGGGATCCAGTTGCGGTTCTAGTTCTTATACCCAATCATAAAAAAGAGATCTAGTCATATTTGACTCCAAAATCACTAACCAAACTTCTTATTGCCTTTCAAAGCTTTGTGGGTGGGGCCGAAGTTCTATGAGTCTTCGGTTTTGGAGCTTCTAAACGGACAAACACTAGTTTAGCTTACGGGATCCAGTTGCGGTTCTAGTTCTTATACCCAAACATACACACGTGATATAGTCATATTTGACTCCAAAAAGATTAACCAATCTTCTTATTGTCTCTCAAAATTTTGTGGGTGTGGCCGAAGTCCTATGAGTTTTCAAATTTGGAGATTCTAAACGGAGAAACACTACTTTAGTTTACGGTATCCGGTTACGGTTCTAGTTCTTATACCCAATCATACAGACGAAATCTAGTCATATTTGACTCCAATAAACACTAACCAAGCTTCTTATTGCCTCTCAAAGCTTTGGGGTGTGGCCGAATTCCTATGAGTTTTCGGTTTTGGAGCTTCTAAACGGAAAAACACTACTTTAGCTTACGGGATCCGGTTGCGGTTCTAGTTCTTATACCCAATCATACACACGAGATATAGTCATATTCGACTCCAAAAACACTAACCAAGCTTCTTATTGTCTCTCAAAGCTTTGTGGGTATGGCCGAAGTCCTATAAGTGTTTGGTTTTGGCGCTTCTAAACTGAAAAACACTACTTTAGCTTACGGGATCCGGTTGTGGTTCTAGTTTTTATACCCAATCATACACACGAGATATAGTCATATTCGACTCCAAAAACACTAACCAAGCTTCTTATTGCCTCTCAAAGGTTTGTGGGTGTGGCCGAAGTCCTATAAGTGTTCGGTTTTGGCGCTTCTAAATAGAAAAACACAACTTTAGCTTACGGGATCCGGTTGCGGTTCTAATTCCTATACCCAATCATACAGACGAGATCTAGTCATTTTTGACTCAAAAAACACTTACTATGTTTCTTATTGCCTCTCAAAGCTTTGTGGGTGTGGCTGAAGTCCTATGAGTTTTCGGTTTTGGAGCTTCTAAACGGAAAAACACTACTTTAGCTTACGGGATCCGGTTGCGGTTCTAGTTCTTATACCAATCATACACACGAGATCTAGTCAGATTTGACTCCAAAAACACTAACCAAGCTTCTTATTGCCTCTCAAAGCACTGTGGGTGTGGCCGAAGTCTTATTAGTTTTTGGTTTTGGAGCTTCTAAACGGAAAAACACTACTTTAGCTTACGGGATCCGGTTGCGGTTCTAGTTCTTATACCCAATCATACACACGTGATCTAGTCATATTTGACTCCAAAAACACTAACCAAGCTTCTTAATGCCTCTCAAAAACATGTTGGTGTGGCCGAAGTCCTATGAGTTTTCGGTTTTGGAGCTTCTAAACAGAAAAACACTACTTTAGGTTACGGGATCCAGTCGCGGTTCTAGTTCTTATACCCAATCATACACAAGAGATCTAGTCATATTTGACTCCAAAAGACTAACCAATCTTCTTATTGCCTCTCAAAACTTTGTGGGTGTGGCCGAAGTCCTATGAGTTTTCGGTTTTGGAGATTCTAAACGGAGAAACACTACTTAAGTTTACAGGATCCGGTTGGGGTTCTATTTGTTATACCCAATCATACAGACGAGATCTAGTCATATTTGACTCCAAAAATACTAACCAAGCTTCTTATTGCCTCTCAAAGCTTTGGGGTGTGGCCGAATTCCTATGAGTTTTTGGTTTTGGAGCTTTTAAACTGGAAAACACTACTTTAGCTTACGGGATCCTGTTGCAGTTCTAGTTTGATATGTTTATAATTTGCATGATTTAGGCATTCGTTCTTCATCACTTTTACATTGTTTCACCCATATTTCATCTCATTAGTAATCGTTTTAGTGTTTTTTGCATACTTAGGACGATTTTGCATTAGAATGCATGTGCATTGCATATGGGGATTGTTTTCAGGTGCTTTGGATGCTTTTGGTGCTCAAACAGAGGAGAAATAGAGCATAAAGTCAGGATGCTCAATCACACCTTCACTAGACCACTCGATCATAACCCCAGGGAAACCAGCAGCTCGGTTTCACTCGATCACCATTCTATCGCAGAGTCAGAGATATCATCACCAGACCACTCTATCGCAGAGCCGGAGATATCACCACTCGATCGCAAGGCGACCTATCTACTCATCCTGCACTTAACCAGATAACCTGAGCAAACGGAAGAAAAGAAAAGAAGCAACCACTCGATCACCACCTGACAACATTCACTCGATCGCAGCACTCGATCGCAAGGTTGCTGGACCATTCCATCTTGTCTTCACTTCAAACCACTCGATTGCAAGGCGGAGTCCCTGAAGCCCAATTTGATCCCCAGTATACTCGATCGCAAGGTTCTGATGTGAAGACCACTATCTAGTTTCCTTATTTGTTTTGGTTCGTTTTTATAAATAGCCTCTAAGGGTTTGACCTAAGGCATTATTTTTCTAAGATTGTTTTTACCCTAAACTTTAGCAGCCGCAGTACGCTCCTGCGACTTTGTATTTCGTTTCGAAGTTATTCAGATTTCGTTTTTCGTCTCCATTTCGTTTATCCTTTAATCTTTCTGTCATGATGTTTTCATTCGTTTATCTGTTATTGTCATTGATGTTGTCTGAGTAGTGACTAGTGTTTCAGAGGATGGGATAGAGTGGTCGTGTGTGCCTTAGTCGTTTTAGATGGTTGAGATAAGATTGTTTGAATCCCTTCTGGATTAGTTGCGCTTATTGTTTGTTCTTTTCTGATCAACTGGAATATAAATCCAGACATTCCCGCACCCAAAAGGTGTTTGATGGAATGTTTGATCGACTAATTCCAAAGATACTCGTCTTTATCCCAAGGTATTGGCCGTTTAGAGCGTGTATTGGCTTTAACAAGTTGATTCGTTATTGCCTGCTTTGTTAGATGTCGCCAATGGTGATTAGGTCTGAGTCTAGCTCTGCTTGACGATTTCTATCACGGTAGTGAATTGATTCGCTTTTGAACTTGTTGTCTAGGGATAGCTTCTTTGAAGTTTTGTCAACCGTCTAAATAGAATAAGGAGACCACGCTATTCGATTACCCCATCCTTAGGAATCTCTTATCCATTTGATTACATGTTATCTCGTCTGCTTAGTTATTCGTCTGCTTGCTATTGCTATTTCACAATTTTAGTTTCATTTCGTTTCTTTCTATTTGCATTAGGATTATTAGAAAACAACAACTATCTGCTTGGCTTGACTTAGTGAACTCTGATCATATCTCATCTGTTTGCATCACACTAGATTTGATTGACACCTATAGTACTACAACGACATGGTAGTGTTTTAGGTTAATTGATACCTAAAAACCTATTATCAATTTGGCGCCGTTGCCAGTTTAGTGTATGTTTGCTATATTTGAGATCATTAGAATCATTAAGATCAAGCTCATTTTTATTACACAACCTACTGACATTGTGCATTTCTGTCTGTGTTTCAGGTACCCACAGCAAACAGCTTTATAGACTCATCTCTGATTGGTCTGCTAAAGCCTGCTGTTACCTGTTATATGCATACACGGTCACAAGGAAATCAGAACCTCCTTTTCAACGATCAACATCGACCATATTGCTCGCCAACTAAGAGAACAGACAGCAACAGACACAATGGCTGACGTTGTAGATGACCAAGTGCAACCCAACAACATTGGTGTTGGTGACTTCCCACACCATCACAACCAGCTTCATGGAATTGTTCCTCCACCAGTCCAGAACAACAACTTTGAGATCAAGAGCGGTCTCATTGCAATGGTTCAGGGGAACAAGTTTCACGGCTTACCAATGGAGGATCCGCTTGATCATCTTGACGAGTTTGAAAGGCTATGTGGCCTCACTAAAATCAATGGAGTAAGTGAGGATGGTTTCAAGTTTTGCTTGTTTCCATTCTCACTTGGAGACAAAGCCCATCTGTGGGAAAAGACGCTACCCCAGGGATCAATCACAACCTGGGATGACTGCAAAAAAGCCTTCCTGGCTAAATTCTTCTCAAACTCCAGAACAGCAAGACTCCAGTATGAGATATCCGGATTCACTCAGAAGAATGCTAAAACCTTCTGTGAAGCATGGGAGCGCTTCAAGGGATATCAGACGCAATGTCCTCACCATGGTTTCTCCAAGGCCTCCCTCCTAAGTACTCTCTATAGAGGCGTTCTCCCTGAGATTAGGATGCTCTTTGATACAGCATCTAATGGGAATTTCCTGAACAAAAACGTTGAAGAAGGATGGGAGCTGGTAGAGAACTTGGCTCAATCCGATGGCAACTATAATGAGGATTATGACAGAGGCATCAGAGGGATTTCTGACTTAGAAAAGAAGCACCGAAGAGACATGAAGGCCATCAATGATAAACTAGACAAGCTCCTCCAAGTGCAACAGACGCATGTTCACTTCGTCTCTCAAGAAGAACCATTCCAAGTCCAAGAGGGGGAGAATGATCAATCTGCAGAAATCAGTTATGTTCAGAACCAAAGTAGCTACAACAAGGGTTATAACAATTACCAACCAAACCTTAATCTGTCATACAGAAGCCCTAACGTCGCCAACCCTCAGGACCAAGTTTACCCTCCTCAGCAGCAACAGCAGCACCAACCCAAACCGTTTGTTCCATACAACCAAGGTCAAGGGTTCGTTCCAAAACAGCAGTTCCAGGGAGGATACCAACAACAGCAACCACCACCTAGTTTTCCACCCCAGCAACATCAAGCACCTTTGCCTCAAGATTCGGATATGAAGAACATGCTCCAGCAGATAATTCAAGGACAAGCCACATGAGCAATGGAAATCGCTAAGAAGATGGCTGAGTTAAATAACAAAGTCGACCGTAACTTCAATGATCTTAACAGCAAGTTCGAATCATTGAGCACTAGGATGAGATATCTGGAAGGCCAGATTGCATCAACTTCTTCTCCCAAAGCCACAAAACTTCCAGGGAAGTCAATCCAGAACCCAAAGGAGTATGTCAATGCTACCACTTTGGGAATTGGTAAAGACCTACCCAACAGAGAAGGTTCTAAGCAAACCACTGAGGATAGTGTAAGTCAAGATGGGGAGGATTTTGGTAAAATAAAGTTCCGGTTGAAAACGCAACTGAGGAACCTATACTCGATCGTGATACTCGATCACCAGCTCATGCATCACCTCCTTCTACTGAAAAACCAGCCGCTACTAAAACAAAGGAGCAAGTCTTTGTTTCCCCACCTTACAAGCCTCTACTCCCATTTCCTGGTCGATTCAAAAAGTTTCTAATACAAAAGTACAAGGCGCTCTTAGATGAACAACTGAAAGATCTTGAAGACACAATGCCTCTAGTTGATTGTCTTGCTCTAATACCAGATTCACACAAATACGTGAAGGATATGATAAAAGAAAGAATCAGAGAAGTTCAAGGAAAGGTGGTGTTGAGTCATGAGTGCAATGCAATTATCCAAACGAAGATTATTCCCAAGAAATTGGGAGAACTTGGTTCGTTTACCTTACCTTGCTCTCTAGGTCCTTTAGTTTTCAGCAAGTGCCTCTGTGATCTAGGTGCATCAGTGAGTCTCATGCCTCTCTCAGTGGCAAAGAGACTTGGTTTCAGCAAGTATAAATCTTGCAACATCACTTTGATCTTGGGCGATAGGTCCGTTAGACTAGCTCATGGTCTATCAGAAGATTTGCCTATCATGATTAAAAATGTGGAAGTGCCTATAGACTTCGTAGTGCTGGACATGGATGAAGAACCAAACGATCATTTGATCTTAGGAAGACCCTTCTTGGCTACAGCTGGAGCAGTCATAGATGTTAAGCAAGGAAAGATTGATCTTCACCTGGGAAAGGATTTCAAAATAAAGTTTGACATCAGAGACGCTACGAAGAAGCCAACAATAGAAGGACAAACCTTCTTGGTTGAGAAAATAGATCGGCTAGCTGATGAACTACCAGAGGAGCTAACAGAGGAAGATCACTTTCAAACTATTTTGACCAAGAGTGGTAAAGTTGGGTATCTCTCTAGTGAGACCTTGAGCTTTGAGAATTCATTAGACTCACATAAGACAATAGTTGGGCCAGAGGTCTTTAAAAGCTTGATTGTGTCAGAAACAAAGGTCATGACATTGAACGAGGAAAGCTCAACTCATACTCGACATCTATGCTCGACGGTCGACTCGAGTAACCCTTTAACTCGTTCAAAGAGCTCATGCTCGACCAAACTGCTTGATCAGCCGCTAGAGTCTAGCAATTTTGCATCAGATGATTGGTTAGAACTCAAAGAGAAGTCTAAATGGCAGGACAAAACCATTATGGAACTAACAGACACTATGAGAGAGCTGAAGGATCAAATCAAGGAGCTCCATGGGAAAGCAAACCAAGTACCACTCAATGTCAAGGATGTCCCAAATGATGAAGCCTTCGCTCTAGCTAGCAAAGAAATAAGTGAATGCACATTGGAATGGTTTATAGAAAAAGACTATCCGGCTGATCAAAAAGAAAGAGCCATTGAGTACCCAATTGCAGAATTGACAAGAAAGAATATTGAGTTTGATGATCCATCTACTAAGAAAGAAGATGAGACCTCATTTCGTCTCTACAAAACTCCCTAAGCCTCATGAGTGTAAGAAATCAAGCTTAGTGACTTTAAACAAGCTCACTTGGGAGGAAGTCCCATCAGTATCCTTGTACATAATTTTATTTTCTTTTTATTTTTGATATGTGTTTGGTAGTGTTTTTGGTTATCAGTCAGGAGGAAGCAGTCTAAGGATGGAGTACTCACTGATAATGATCCAACATGAGACGTGGTATTAAGAAAAAAAAACAATTTGAATTTTTGCACCCATCTACTCGATCCCGTGATCGAGTATGACCAGTGGTAAAAAATTTTAAATTTCTGCAACCACTCTCTGATGGTGATCAAGTATAAGGGTATGGTGTCAAGGGACTTCGCTCTCAAAAATTCAAATTTTCGACAACATACTCGATCACGTAAGCAAGCACGGAGATGATGCAGCTGATGAGCAGCATCAAGTACCCAGCATCCCCTGGGAATACACTCATGATGAGATGGACGATTACATCAGCAGAGGTTTCCACTGAGATACCACTCCAAACACACATTTTATATACCAATTTTGTTTTGTTTTTGCTTTCTTGTTTTTCTCTTGAATCCTCTTTCAGACTTTTATTACACAAGGGACCGTGTAATTTAAGTTTGGGGGAGGATCCAGGAAGTATTTGATGTGTTTTCTTTGAATCTTGTTTTCAAATTTTGCATTACATACTTGAGTCTGCATTCATCTAAGGCATAGAAAAAACCATAAAAATTTGAAAATTTTCTGAAAATGTATTCCAAAAAAACAGAGTGTTCATATAGATGCATCACATTTAGGATCGAGTTAGGATGTTTAATATAGGATTGTTGCATATGCATAGGGGATTATGATGAGATAGCCTTGTAAGAATGTTGGTTCACTAGATAGACTCAATGCCCTCGTTGCTAGTTGTCTGATGCGTAGTCAATGAAATTGAAGTAAAACTGCACCATGTCTTGAATGCTCTACTCGATCACACTATCATGATTTGATACCATTCCCTATCAATTTGAACCTGAATCTGATTTACAATTATCATGTCTTAGCATCAAATTTGAACTCATGGATACCATATACATACTTGGGTTTTCTTTCAACTTTTCACCACCCTTGCTAACCCAAGTTAGGTTTGAGCCGACAAGAGTAGTGTCTCATGTAGTTCTAATCAATGTTTTCTGGACTAGATAGGACTAGGTGGGAGTCTATTTTTGGGTGGAGATCGAGTATATGAGAAAAAGAAGAAAAAGGTTGATGTTTTTAGGAGAAGGAAGTTGAGAAACAAGTTAGTCTAGTAATGGATTTTGGGGAACTAAAAGTCGAATAAATAAGCTCTATAACAAAAAAAGGCAAAAGTCTAGAAAAGTCTTTATCATAAGAATATAACAAGAGCCATAGTTGTCAAAGAAAACCAAAATCCACTAGATCCATCAAAGTAAAAGAAAACTTCTCCTCAGAACAGAGTGAGAGAAAAGAAAGAGTGGCTTGATCTAAGATAAGAATGAGAAAAAAATGCCTTGAGTGCAAAGGGTAGAACTAGGATCATCTTCTGGGGTTGAGGGTAGTACCATCTACTGGTGTATACACGGTTTATGTTATTGGATAGATGAGATACTATTCTTGTATGCATAGGTTGGCTCTTACCTTTAGCATTCTCCTAAAGCTCAGTCCATTTCTTTTGAGAGTCCCCTGTTACTAAACTTGAACCACCTTAAAGGGACTGTCTTTGTCTCCTAACCTTCACCTTAGCCAAATGAGTTCATTGATGGTGCACTGCTTGATTCAAGTTTCGAAACTAATGAATGTTAAAGGAATTGGTTGATTTGAAAGAATGTGTAGGTCGAGTATAAGAGTCGGATTGAATCATAACAAGGCATGGCTAACGTTTTTTAGTAGATTTCGATCATATCGCATCCTAGAACTACCAACTTGGACATTGATTTTATCTGTTTTATCTGATGCTTTGGTTCTGAATCCCCACCTTCAAACCTCTCCTTCATCTTGTGTTTACTTGTTTGCTTGAGGGCAAGCAAAGAATAAGTTTGGGGGAGTTGATATGTCTATAATTTCCATGATTTAGGCATTCGTTCTTCATCACTTTTACATTGTTTCACCCATATTTCATCTCATTAGTAATCGTTTTAGTGTGTTTTGCATACTTAGGACGATTTTGCATTAGAATGCATGTGCATTGCATATGGGGATTGTTTTCAGGTGCTTTGGATGCTTTTGGTGCTCAAACAGAGGAGAAACAGAGCAGAAAGTCAGGATGCTCAATCGCACCTTCACCAGACCACACGATCACAACCCCGGAGAAGCCAGCAGCTCGGTTTCACTCGATCACCACTCTATCGCAGAGTCAGAGATATCATCACCAGACCACTCTATCGCAGAGCCGGAGATATCACCACTCGATTGCAAGGCGACCTATCTACTCATCCTGCACTTAACCAGACAACCTGAGCATACGAAAGAGAAGAGAAGAAGCAACCACTCGATCACCACTTGACAACATTCACTCGATCGCAGCACTCGATCGCAAGGTTGCTGGA